TGCACACTACGAAGTGATTTGGCTACTTTTAACATTTGGCTTTTAAAAAAATGTGTAAAATTTGCTTTTCCTCTTGCTGTTTCTCTGCTCCGGATGGCTGTTTGGGACCAGCGGATTCTGCTCGAAAAGGTGGCAGATGTTGCTCGAAAAGCAGTGAAATTGGCAGAACCATACAATTATTATTTTTATTAGTTTATATATTTTACTAGGGTGTTTCCCACAGACCTATGGTACAAACCTTATGGTGGGCAACGCTATCCGACTTCCGCTCACCCATACAAAAACATATTATTATTATTATTATTAAGCGAGGGTCCCTGGTTCGAGTCCTGGTGGTGACAGTCAATTTTTTCTTCAGACTTTTCCCGTTTGTCTCTTTCCCTCAAACCAGTAATAATATTATTATTTTAATAACGAAGGTGCGTGTTAGGTCGTAAGTATCCACGCAAACACACATCCAGTCAAAATAAGGCACTTGTCAAAGTATCCGAACGTTTTCGGTCCCTTCTCATCAAGGATTATACAGGGAATGGCTCAAGTTGGAAAGACTAAAACTTATATAGCGTAAAGATATGAGATAACAACACTCGTGACAAGGTGAAAAAAGTATCAAGTTCAGCACGACACAAAACTCGAAGGACATAATAATAGCGACAAGAACATAGTGAGCAAATTAAGTTACATTGTTAACACCTCGACGAGGAGTAACACCAAGCAATTGTAGCGACAACACATTTTCTTTTTGTACGCAAAGTTCAGGATCTAACTTACGGATATACAAAGCTTCTAACACAGCCAGATGCAACGCACATCTACCACGTGACAATATGGAGAACACATTATCACTGTACAACTCACGACAATTGGTACGGGCTGACAGATGTTGCTTGATGGACGAAGTGCGATTCTTAGCTCCGTTGGGTGTAGTCTCCTCCAATGTCCCGTCATCTCGCCTCTTCGCGGCATCACCACTATCCGTCTCTTTGCTTTTCCGCGGCCTTCCACGTTTTCTGACACTAGCCGTTGTGTGCGCGATGCCCAGTGTCCTTTCAGCTACGTCTCCTCCATTGCGGATTTCTATTGATCTTCTTACTCCAACTTGTCCGGTGTTCGATATTGAGGTTCGTTTTCGCGGTCTACCACGTTTTCGAATATTGACTGTTGTTGTCACTTCCGTTGTCGTTGTACGTGCGTCCTCACCAGTCCGTATTTTTACTTGGCTTCGCGTAACCCTTCCCGACGCAGACAGATCCTTTGTCAATTTCGGTGGTTTACGTGTCGGTCTTTCACCATCTTTCACGCTGTTCTCAGCTGGACCCTGCGCTATACACGCGGAGGAGGACGGGCATGCAGTGATATCTTCACAGGAAGAGGAAGATCCACCGATGGACTGGACAGCACATTTTGGAGGACGACCACGGCGAGGACGACACTCACGCGCATCAAGCGGAACAAAACTTAACGGCACATGTTGACGAATGCGCGCGCCCAGGTGCTGAAGGGTTCTACCTACATACCGATCTTCACATTGTCGGCATTGAAAGAAATAGATAAGGTTACTTTTACTAAGGGTAGGTAGAACATCCTTCTTCACACTGAACGCACGCACTGTCCCAAATATGACGTACAGCTTGACGCACGGATAAGATGGACATACGATACCACGAACATCCTTCTCCACGCGCGCAGAACCGGCGCCAACCCAGGGTAAACGGAGCACCACTGGGCAAAGGTCAGGTCCAAATTGGATCGGCTTGTCTGTCGCCGGTTTTTCGTTGATAAGCTTGGCCAGAAATTCCTTTGGATAGCCGTTGTTCGTAAATATTGATGTCAGTCTGTCTAATTCGTCCTGCAATAGATGAGGGGAACATATTCTATGCGCACGATAAACTAGCGCTTTCACAAGATGTTTCTTCGATTTCGTTGGAGTATAGCTCCCCCACGGAATGTAGAGGCCGGTGAAAGTTGGCTTCCTATAGATAGTGGTGTCCAAACTCTTAGTGTTAATGTTGCGTGAAATTTGTACATCCAAGAAGGATAATCTGCCGTTTTGTTCCGCTTCCGACGTGAATCTCAACGCCGGATGGAGGCTATTCAGAGTTAGTAGAAAAGTCCCACAGACATCCTCATCCTCATCGTGACAGTACACATCGTCTACAAAACGACAGTACATAGAGGGCCACAATGATGGACTAATGGACGCTTCACAAAACCCTACAAATATATTAGCCAATACAGGACCAAGTGGCGAGCCCATGGCAACGCCATCTATTTGTTTATACATAACGTTGCCAAATGAAAACTCAACGCCAGATGTAACCATTAACATGAGTTTCACAAACTCCGTTTCGTTCAAGGACGGCGGAGTAATGGACTTATTGTGGTACAGTGTTGTTGCGCAGATGTCAATGGTCTCCCGTAGTGGCACGTTAGTAAATAAGATGACGGGACATTGGAGGAGACTACACCCAACGGAGCTAAGAATCGCACTTCGTCCATCAAGCAACATCTGTCAGCCCGTACCAATTGTCGTGAGTTGTACAGTGATAATGTGTTCTCCATATTGTCACGTGGTAGATGTGCGTTGCATCTGGCTGTGTTAGAAGCTTTGTATATCCGTAAGTTAGATCCTGAACTTTGCGTACAAAAAGAAAATGTGTTGTCGCTACAATTGTTTGGTGTTACTCCTCGTCGAGGTGTTAACAATGTAACTTAATTTGCTCACTATGTTCTTGTCGCTATTATTATGTCCTTCGAGTTTTGTGTCGTGCTGAACTTGATACTTTTTTCACCTTGTCACGAGTGTTGTTATCTCATATCTTTACGCTATATAAGTTTTAGTCTTTCCAACTTGAGCCATTCCCTGTATAATCCTTGATGAGAAGGGACCGAAAACGTTCGGATACTTTGACAAGTGCCTTATTTTGACTGGATGTGTGTTTGCGTGGATACTTACGACCTAACACGTACCTTCGTTATTAAAGTATTATCCGCCTCCGACTTCTTGTAAAATATTATTATTATTATTATTAATGCAATGAATATAACTAAATGCGCACTCATATCACAACCATGGGGACGAATCATGTATTCCAGAACGTTTTCTTGTCACAATTATCAATGGAATTCGTGACTAAAGAGAATGATGAAACTACAATAGGATTTATACACTTGCAGTGGAACAGCGAGGATACAAGCATAGTAAGAAAAATAGCACAAACCTAGTTACAATTTGCACAGGTAATAAGCTATAGGTGAGGTGAGAAATGATTGGAAATTCAGCAAGTGCAGTGTGACAATGGACATGCATGTGTAAGTGTGTGTGAGTGCGAATTTACTGGAATAGCGTAAGTGCGGTGACATTTTCTTTTTGTTTACAAAGATTTGGATCACGAATGCGAATGTAGACTGCTTCTAGAACTTTTAACTGCTTGAAACTACTTGCAGAACGAACAACACTGAACCAAGAATCATCATAACTTTCACGACACACGGGGTTAGACAACAAATGCAATTTAATTGCCGATGTATTCTTCTTCTTCTCACCGCCTCCGCCTTCACTTGGTTTCTGACCGCCACCGTCCTTCACACCATCTGCACCATCATCGTCATCATCGTCACCGTGCTCTTCATCATCGCTGCCACCTTCACCTGTCGTCGGCTCTCCCAGCAACTGACCACCGGGTTCATCATCGTCACTGCACACGTCGCTTCCACACTCCTCCTCCAGCTGCCGTCGCGTTCTCTTCCTGACCGGTCTTCCCTTGCCATTGCCAAACGCCTGACAGTCGTCAACTCTTCCGCTGGCATCATCCATATCCTGAGAGTTTCGATGCATCTTTCCAGTCACCTCTGCAAACCGAGCTGCCGCCAGCCGTTTGCTCCTTCTCAGCTTTGGTGAGTTGCGGTTGTCTGCGTCCGGCGTTACGGTACTCGCTGATAATGAAGATAAGACACAGTGTTCGTCTTTGTTTACATTAATGTTTGTTCCCAATTTCTGCGTGCTGTGTTGGTTTTTCCGAGACACCGTTTGTGGAGCAGAAGCCTCTGCCGGAACGGACAGTGGAGTTGGGTGCTTACGTGGTCGGCCACGCTTTGGTCGGGAGGACCTCGCCGCCTGTGACAATATTGAGAGCGGCACGTGTTGTTTGATACGTTCGGACAGATGTTGAAGGGTCCTACTTACCCCGTGTGTCGTGAAAGTTATGATGATTCTTGGTTCAGTGTTGTTCGTTCTGCAAGTAGTTTCAAGCAGTTAAAAGTTCTAGAAGCAGTCTACATTCGCATTCGTGATCCAAATCTTTGTAAACAAAAAGAAAATGTCACCGCACTTACGCTATTCCAGTAAATTCGCACTCACACACACTTACACATGCATGTCCATTGTCACACTGCACTTGCTGAATTTCCTATCATTTCTCACCTCACCTATAGCTTATTACCTGTGCAAATTGTTCCTAGGTTTGTGCTATTTTTCTTACTATGCTTGTATCCTCGCTGTTCCACTGCAAGTGTATAAATCCTATTGTAGTTTCATCATTCTCTTTAGTCACGAATTCCATTGATAATTGTGACAAGAAAACGTTCTGGAATACATGATTCGTCCCCATGGTTGTGATATGAGTGCGCATTTAGTTATATTCATTGCATTATTAAGATTATTGTCTCCACGTCGCCTTTTTACATATTTTAAGCGGAGATACACATGCGATCAGATCGAGTGTCTGAATAGGGCGCTGCGTAAGCGTTATGTCTGTAGGTGTATTGCCTTGAATGTAACGTTTCTTCGGCAATGTCTGGATTGTGGCGTTTGCCCTAATGCCATCCAGAAGAGAGTGCAGAAAGCCAAAGCGTACCAGTCTTTGGCCATCGAAAAAACATTCATTAGAGATGACATAGCTAGGTCTACTGATACCTTGGGCAAAGTACGGTCACAATTCCGGTGGCTGTATCGTCAAGCCCGTGCATTTCTTTCGGAGCATGACTTTCTCCGCTTTTCCATGCTCATTTCGGAGAACGATGATAAACTGCAGACCCGACTCATCGCTAAGTATTCAAAGAATGTCAAATGGCTTAGGAACAAGCGTTTTGGTTCAATATCTATTAACACCAACACCATCATCAATCTCACAAACATTGAACTCACTACAGTACAGAAGGAATTACTTTCCAGAGGCACTGACTTCGGAATACCGCCAAAATCCAACATGAAAGAACAGGTCCTGACCGACTTCGAGTTATTCTACCGCAAACTAGAAGAGTTTGTGCCGGTAACACAATCGAAGAAAGCGGTATGCACTGCTAACCTCCGTGCTGTAGCAGAGGAACATGCCGAGCAGCCGGTGGATAGGAAAGCCTTTTCATTATCGAGAGAGCACATGAAAGCCCGGTCAGAATTGAAAGCGAACAAGGATATAGTCATCACTAGACCGGACAAAGGCCGCGCCACTGTAGTCATAAGTCGAACTGAATATAAGTCCAAAATGGCCAAAATTTTGGATGACAGGACCAAATTTGAGTTGCTTGGCCCTGTATCAACGCACGATCGAACTCTAATCCGAGAAAAGCAACTAGTGAAATACCTGCAGACACTGAAAAACACAAATGAAATATTCGCATCTGAATTTGCACGGATAAAGCCAATCGGTTCGGTGCGACCTAGGATGTATGGCTTGCCAAAAATTCACAAGCAATCTTGCCCGCTACGTCCGATACTCTCCATGACTGGCTCAGCGGAATACAGAATATCCAAATGGCTGTGTATGATGATCCAGCCAGTGCTGGATTTCTACTGTAAGCACAACGTCAAAGACACCTTCCAGTTTGTTGAAATCTTACATGAGAACCCAGTTCCATCTTCTGCGCACATGTGTTCCTTTGATGTTGTCAGTCTGTTTACAAACGTACCATTATCCGAGACAATCAATATCTGTGCTGAAACACTGTACCACAACAAGGAAATAAAAGATGTACCATGGCTGTCCGAAGCGGCTTTTCGCCGCTTGATGTTGATGGTTACGAGTGGTGTGGAGTTTTCATTTGACGACATCATGTATAAACAGACGGATGGCGTGGCTATGGGTTCTCCATTGGGTCCGGTCCTAGCCAATGTGTTTGTTGGGTACTGTGAATCGAAGATAGATAAGTGGCCGGAATTGTACGTCAGGTTTGTGGATGACTCCTTCACGTACTTTGATTCGAGAGCAGACGCTGACGACTTTCTGCTGAAACTGAATACAATCCATCCTGCACTGAGATTTACGTGTGAACATGAAGAGTCCAATAAGCTATCGTTTCTGGATGTGTTAGTCGAAAAGACCCAGACTGGTGTATTGACTACAGTATACCGTAAACCCACTTTCACCGGGCAGTACATGATGTTTGACTCGTTCTGCTCTTCCCAGTACAAGTCAAACTTAGTTCGTAACCTTGTAAATAGGGCACAACGCATTTGTTCACCAACAAAGCTACAACAGGAACTTGATTTTCTACGCTCCGTATTTGTGAAGAATGGCTACCCGCAGCAGCTCCTCGACAAACTTCTAACAACTACACCTGTTGTTAAGGAACGAGCTATCGGACCGTTGCCGTGCCGCGTATTTCTTTGCTTGCCCTGGAAAGGGAAAGAATCGAAGGACACGGCCCGTGTGGTGAAATCCCTAGTGGAGAAAACCTACTTTGCCACCAATGTGGTTACCGTGTTCACTACGATCCGTTCGTTCACGATGTTGAAGGATGTCCTACCAACCCTACAATTGAGTCACCTCATTTACTACTTTGAATGCCGACAATGTGGTAGTCGGTATGTTGGTAGGACCCTTCAACATCTGTCCGAACGTATCAAACAACACGTGCCGCTCTCAATATTGTCACAGGCGGCGAGGTCCTCCCGACCAAAGCGTGGCCGACCACGTAAGCACCCAACTCCACTGTCCGTTCCGGCAGAGGCTTCTGCTCCACAAACGGTGTCTCGGAAAAACCAACACAGCACGCAGAAATTGGGAACAAACATTAATGTAAACAAAGACGAACACTGTGTCTTATCTTCATTATCAGCGAGTACCGGAACGCCGGACGCAGACAACCGCAACTCACCAAAGCTGAGAAGGAGCAAACGGCTGGCGGCAGCTCGGTTTGCAGAGGTGACTGGAAAGATGCATCGAAACTCTCCGGATATGGATGATGCCAGCGGAAGAGTTGACAACTGTCAGGCGTTTGGCAATGGCAAGGGAAGACCGGTCAGGAAGAGAACGCGACGGCAGCTGGAGGAGGAGTGTGGAAGCGACGTGTGCAGTGACGATGATGAACCCGGTGGTCAGTTGCTGGGAGAGCCGACGACAGGTGAAGGTGGCAGCGATGATGAAGAGGACGGTGACGATGATGACGATGATGGTGCAGATGGTGTGAAGGACGGTGGCGGTCAGAAACCAAGTGAAGGCGGAGGCGGTGAGAAGAAGAAGAATACATCGGCAATTAAATTGCATTTGTTGTCTAACCCCGTGTGTCGTGAAAGTTATGATGATTCTTGGTTCAGTGTTGTTCGTTCTGCAAGTAGTTTCAAGCAGTTAAAAGTTCTAGAAGCAGTCTACATTCGCATTCGTGATCCAAATCTTTGTAAACAAAAAGAAAATGTCACCGCACTTACGCTATTCCAGTAAATTCGCACTCACACACACTTACACATGCATGTCCATTGTCACACTGCACTTGCTGAATTTCCTATCATTTCTCACCTCACCTATAGCTTATTACCTGTGCAAATTGTTCCTAGGTTTGTGCTATTTTTCTTACTATGCTTGTATCCTCGCTGTTCCACTGCAAGTGTATAAATCCTATTGTAGTTTCATCATTCTCTTTAGTCACGAATTCCATTGATAATTGTGACAAGAAAACGTTCTGGAATACATGATTCGTCCCCATGGTTGTGATATGAGTGCGCATTTAGTTATATTCATTGCATTATTAAGATTATTGTCTCCACGTCGCATTATTATTATTAACGGGTTTTGAGAGAAAGAGACAAACGGGAAAAGTCTGAAGAAAAAATTGACTGTCACCACCAGGACTCGAACCAGGGACCCTCGCTTGTAGCCAGCGATGCTCTAACCACTGAGCTATGGTGTAGTCGTCATCCAAGCAGAGACCGTTCAACGTTTTCTTCAGACTTCTCAACTATTATTATTATTATGACGACTTAATTCACTCCCAAAGCAGAAAAAGAAAGCTTGAAAGGAGGCATGAAGCACAGCACCGGGCTCCATATGACCCAAGGGCGAAGCACCAATCAATGAAGATAAAAGAAAATGGGGACGATGATGATGAAGATGAGACGGAGGACGAGGATAAGGCGGAGGAGATCGAAGGAAAGGAGCGGGATGAGACGGAAGAGAGCGACGTGAGCAAAAAGTCTGCTGTATTTTGTCACTTGTTATCACGTCCAGATTGTCTTAGTGTGTACGATGATTCTCACTTTTCTGTTTTGTGCCGTGCAAATTATGTTAAGCAGTTGAAGGTTCTGGAAGCTGTATGTATTCGTGTGCATAATCCTGTTCTTTGTAAACAAAAGAAGCATGTAGTCGTGCTAAATTTGTTCTCGTAGCTGGTTATCAGATGTAATTGTTGTGTCATGTTGCACTGTATCACCTCTTGCTGTGTGGCTGCACTCAGTTATATACGTTAGCACTATGTCTGACACCTATTATGTAATGCTGTAGCACTTCCTTTGTTGTTCACACTTTTAATTAATTATGCTGTTATAAAATGTTCTATTTTTGTACACAGTACCCTCAGTTCCGATACTATTCACTGATGAGCGGAACACGAAAATAGATTTTGAATAACATAAAAATCCTTAAAAATTCCATGAACTCGTTGTTGTCTGGCCATGTCTGCATCGATTATACTCCTAATTGCACTAATAAAAGAAAATCCTGAACAAAATTTTGATTAACTTCATGAGAGAAAAATTTAACTATGCCAACTTCGATACTCACAAAAATCACAGTCATGTATAGCAGAACTACTTTTAAGAGAGCATGTCTGAGAAAACCAGAACATATGTGCAAGTCGATCTCTCAGATTTCGCTCAACTTTTGCAGGTCGGTTTGCTTTGGGGTGTAGATCGACATTCCAAAGCCCGCACAAAATCTTTTGAAGGGAACCATGAAATTGGTATACCCCTCAATATTGGCCCAATATTGGCACGATTTATGGGTCAACAAACGAGCCACGGCACAGCGTACAAGAACAAGCTACGAACAAAACTCCATCAAGCCATCATTACCTCACCTTAGAAGAGTTCTTGGGGCAGCATCACTTAGCCACGCCAGCATCCCAGAAGACGAGGGCAATCATCCCTTGACGCCACAAATGATCGTCTTGAAAATAGCCAAAAATAATTACAAGCGCTGATAAAACAGCGAGCTACGTCCTCAATTAGCAAACACTATACACCGGCAGATAGTAGAACACCTCTTCTAGCACTGAGGACATGTCCTCCATCATCCTTTTTGGGTTTTCTTGAAATAAACAATTTTGAATTTTTCCACTCGGCCGTTCTGAAATACGTCCAAACTCATACCTGCGCAGGAAAGCTCGCCCCTCCGTGAGGTCTAGTCAGCAATTTCTACTCCAACACCACTCCCAACGCTGCAGAACAAAGTGTATTGTTGACTCTGACAAGGAAAAGCAACGGTGATCACTTGTCACTCCAAACGACAAGCTTCTCCTTGCGCCACGAACATATTTCGGTGCAACAGTTGATGCAAAAGTGACTGAATTTTTGCGTGTAGTTTTTGGATTTTACTGCCTGTTTAACAGTCTCTTTGTTAGCGGTGTCCAGGCTCGTCAGGCGAAGGCGGTATTGATTTTCTAGAGGGACGTGATTCATGGTGCTGGAGAACAGCGGCCAGGGCAGGGACATCTTCCCGATCCTTCAGGTACTGAGCGAGCCGGATGCAAGTACGGTCGTGGAGATCTATGATGCATACTAGGCCACGACCTCCCTCACTCCGCGGTAGATATAGGCGACGGATTGAGGCACGTGGGTGGTGGGCCCTGCTAGCAGTCAGAGCCTTCCTCACTGTCCTGTCCAGCGAGCGAAGCTCATCCGCGGTCCAAGGAACGACTGTGCCAAGGCCATAGGACACCACTGGCAGAACGTAGGTGTTGATTGCTCTGATGAGGTTTGGTGCACATAGTGAAGCATCCGTGATCAAGCGAAGACGGCGACGGAACTCAGCGATGGCAGATTGTTTAACTTCACCAGCCTCGATTCCCAGGAATTCCCGCAGGCCAAGGTAGAGGTACGCCGCGCCATCTTGCAGAGGATGAATGATCGACTTTGTTAGTAAGGTTGACGAAGGCTCTGTATCCTGGGTTGGCTTAGCGGCCGGGCAGACAATCTTCGAGCACTTAGTGGGAGATAGTTGCATGCCAACCGCCCCACCAACGTACTCCACAATGTTGATCAAGGAGTCCAGTCCAGTACTGCTAGCGGCAAATAGCTTGATGTCATCCATGTACCATAGATGCGACAGCAGGGAATCACGCGTGGGTCCACAACGATATCCTATGCCGCTTCTTGCTAATTCGTTTGAGATTGGGTTAAGACCGATGCAGAACAGCAGGGGAGACAGAGAATCACCCTGGATGATACCCCGTAGGACGGATATTGGCTCGCTGACACCGCTGCTAAGGCACAGTTGTGTGCTCCATTGCTCCGACAGCGTTTGGAGGGTGCGGATGATCCTAGGATCGAACTTGTAGATGGTAGCAATTTCCCAGATCCACTCTTGGGAAAGGCTATCGAAGGCCTTTCGGAAGTCTAGCCATGCCATACTGAGGGAGCGCTGGTGGCATTTGGCATCTTCAATAATCATGTTGTTGATCTGTTGATCAACAACATGATTATTACTGATCTGTGCATCCTCCTCGGCCACGTGCACATCCGACCTGTTCCGGGGCCAGCAGACTGTTAGCGGTGATGTGAGACCACATAAGCTCCGATACTACAGATGTGAAAAGTTTATACATAGAAGGCAGGCAGGTTATAGGTCTCCAGTTCTGGGGTTTCGACAGATCACCTTTCTTCGGTAGGAGTACGGTTGCACCAAGGGAGAACCAGGGCGGTGGCACGACTTCCGAATCCAACAGCCGCTGGAATATGCAAAGCAAGGCAGGATGAAGTGCACTAAACTTCTTTAACCAGAATGGTCTGATGTTGTCAGGCCCAGCAGCACGCCAGTGAGGCATCCTTCCAACTGCCAGTTGGAACAACTCCGGCGTTATGACTGCATCCTCTTGTGGCTGGACATATTGATAGGCAAGAGCCTCCCGTTCAATCCATCCATGCCTGCTCACCGCAAATGGCTCGGACCAGATGCCTGACCAAAAATCATGCAACGCCCCCATACCAGGCCGAGTCTGGTCACTGCAGTCAGCCTCCTGTGTCCCCAGAGAGCGGTAGAACTGGCGCTCGTTCTCTCTGAATACCTGATTCTGTTGTTTTCTCTTGATGTTATACTTATACCGTCTGATTCTGGCGGAAAGCGCCAGCAGCTCCATTTTCTTGCTTTCGAGTAGAGCCGCGGCCTCATCACAGCTCTTGACAGGATATCTGGTGAACAATCTTGGGTTTCCAGCTTGGATGAAACTTGTGAGGCGCGATACGTCTTTCCTCACATTCTCAATTTTGCGTTGTATCCGCAACAACCAGCCTGGCGCAGTCTCCCTCCCATGATCACCACCACTCAAACGGCAAGGTGCAACACCAGACACCACCAAGGCCAGCACCGCCGCTGCATAGGTGAGCTGATTGGCGAATTCCAAAGACAGAGGCAGGGGCAAACCCAACAGGAACAGTCTCATGCCCCCGTTGACCAAGGCAACATTGCTGGAAAGTGCACGGCTAGGGACCTTTCTGGGGACAATGAGTCTTGACCGACCTGTCAACTGCAAGCTCTGTACTCCAACTAAAACACCGCTCAGAGGTCTGCCAACGTCACCAGGTGTGGCTATTTTGCGATTGACGCAGAGGTGCCTGATTGACCACTCCAGATCCATAATCAAACCATCAGGGCCCAGAATACCAGATTCACTGAGATTGGTTAGAATGCCTCCAAGCTTATCAGGGTTGGAATTACTACAAGGCGAACAAGGCGTCTCCCTTGTGCAGTGACTTTGCTCTGTTTCAGGCACTCCAACAGCCGGTCCATCCACAGTAGGCGTTGATCCACTGGGAGCCATGTCGCCCTCCACAGGTGGCTGAGGCCCTGCCAGGCCATAAACAGCCTGTGGACGCACGCAGGCCTCTGGACTACCCACAGAGTGTGCATAGACAGATTCAGTACATGATGCATCACCACCCGCAGTGCTGGAGTACTCAGTACATGAAGGCAGAGGCCCAGCAGCAAACACACGGAGTAAGCTCGGTGGAACGCCGGCGCACGTGTCAAGGCCATCGCTTACCAGCAGTACACTGGGACCAGAGTCAACGGAATTGGCGCAGGCGGAATATTCTACATGATCACGTGCAAGAGAGGCTGGCCGCTCGCTGTCAGTGTCAGTGAAACAAGCGCCAGGACCATCAGGTAACCCAGCAGCCGAATCCAGGGAAACAGCGCCGGTGGAAGACGCACTGACAGATTCAGGACCTTGACTAGTCGTAGCAGGCAACTGGACCACACAGCCAAAGCGCGTCATGAACTCAACAGGCAACTCGCCACGCTGCACCAACTGACGGGCTATCTCCTCCTGCTCCACCGATGTAAGGTATTTTTTGATAATTAGCGAAATTTGACCAGCCAAGTTCTGCTCCGAGATAATATCATCCGGTCGACGCTGTATCCATAGGTCAAGTTGACGCTTCCGGTGACCCGCCTTCTGTGGCCATACAGCCAAAAAATGGCACTCCAAGGCAATACGGTTGTCGGAACCAGACCATTTCCTGCGAGGTGGCATACACCAGTTCACTAAAAAACAAGACTAGACCTTCTCTTTGCTGAGACCTACTTCACAAAAATGATGAACGGCTACTAGTAAAGGGATGAGGGTAAACTCAAAAGAATTGGAGCGGGTAGCGCGCTAAGAGGCGGATGGCTACCAGAGCTCCAAAAAGCTGAACCGTCCCCGAGGGGGGTTAATTATTATTATTATTTGAAAGTAGGACGGAGGCAGAAAATATTACAAAAATGTATTATCTACGCATGCACGCAAGAGTCACCACCAGCCAATTAGGACATGTGTCAAAGTATTGAACGTTTTCGTTCCCTTCTTGTCAAAATACTACAGGGAATGATGGAAATAGGCTAAAAGACTACAACTATAAGGAAAAGAAGTTCAGAAATATATCACTCCAATTATGTGTAGAAGTGACACGAAAAAATAGATGTGAAGAATCAAGAAAACAGCATGCAAATCCAATAAGTGACAAAAACGTAGTGACAAGAAAAAGAGAGAAATATCAAGAGATCTATTTCGCACCTTCACGACGAACAGTGCCAAACAACTGCAAAGACAACACATTCTCCTTCTGAACACAAAGCTCAGGGTCACTGTTCCCTGGGTTTGCTCCCCACACCGGAGCTCGCGCTATTCCGCCGACTTTACTTGACTGACTCACGACTGCCATCCAGAGCACACGAGAAGTCCATCGAACCTTCGACTTACAAGTCATCGCCGAAGTCGCCACCACTACTTCGTACTGTTGTGCCCAGCGCGGGCTTGCGACTAGTTGGTTTGGAGGTGACAGCGTTGCGAATGACCGAGGGTCCTCGACGTCTGTCTCACCGTCCAGGAGCGACACTGACTCACGCTGCTATCTGGTGTTTACGAGGTGTTTATCGCGCTGGAAACGGAGCGTCTCTGTAAGTTTGTATCCCTGGTGATGTTTGTGCCTGGAGAGCACTATATAAGTGGTGCTCTTCAGGCACAATCTTCCTCAGCCTACTCAAACTCAACTGATGAGTGGTGAATTCCCCGAAACACTGTGTATTGAGCAGGGAGTGGTGTTTTCTTGCAGGTTTGCCGAGTCGAAGGTTCGATGGACTTCTCGTGTGCTCTGGATGGCAGTCGTGAGTCAGTCAAGTGTCAAGTAAAGTCGGCGGAATAGCGCGAGCTCCGGTGTGGGGAGCAAACCCTTTATTATTATTATTATTATTCGCAGATTGAGTATTTCGCTCCTGTTCTTGTAGCAGTTGAGCACTCTTGCGTGGGGTAGTGCCTTTGCTGTTTGCGTTATGCAGAGCTCACTAACTTGTCAGTTTGAGCACTCTGGCAAGGTACGTTCGGGCCTGATTGGAAATTTTTATTTTCATTGCTATCAGGTTCGGCCTCGTTTTGTCTGTGCTGCGCTGATGAGTTCAAAAAGAACGAAACAGCATGCTGTCCGCAGATTGAGTATTATTATTATTATTATTTCGTTGTCAATATTCGCATGCAACGACGCAAATCCACACAACTCAGTAGACACTTCCTTTCTATCAAACGTTTTCTTTCCCTTCTCTTCAGGATAGTACAGGGAATGTTGAAAACCTGGAATAACACATAACTATAATTTAGAAAAATAGAGAAAAAGTCAACACTTCAACATAGGCGATAAAATGGCTAAAGTGTTAAAAACTCGAAAACAAAAGCTTCAAGTTGTAGACAAACTCATTGAACACATCCAGGAACCCTTGTCACACTTTCACGAGGTGTGACACCAAACAACTGCAACGATAACACATTCTCCTTCTGTACACATAGTTCTGGATCTAGTTTACGAATATACAGAGCTTCTTTTTTTCGTCGGGAAGTGCTAACTAATTATCGTGAGTTGTATAGTGATGATA